ATTTATGCAACTATAATCAATTTCTCATTTCACGATGCCATACACATAGTTAAATAATTATATTGGATTTTTTATACTAAAAATAAGTTTTTTCATCCTGCTAGATTATAACTCATATAATAATATAATCGTAATTCTTAATTATTATCAAACTTACAATTGTGTAGTTTCCATAGCCCTCTTTCTATGTAACCTTTTACACCGAACCATTTAATATCAAATGGATTAGAAACATCATTATAATATAAAATACGTTCGATTCCACCTGTTTCATTATTTTGTGCATAAACAATAATTTCAAAGTTTGTGGAAGATTTTCGTATCGAAAAAGTGAAATGATTCCAGTGACGCTCATTCAGAAGTGGCTAAAAATTAAATTTTACTATTATTCATAATATAATTTTCTAAGTACATTATACGTATCATTCTTCAATATGAAACTTACAATAGTGTGATTTGTTACAGTTCCATTTTTGCATTCGCTAGAGAAATACGGTGGAATTCCCTTTTCACATTTTTTAATTAAAGATTTAGTATTTTTGAATCCTGATATTATGACCATGTAACATGTGCTATTACTGAAATTTTCATTTTCGCAAAACATGACATGGGCATCGGATTTAACTTAAAAGAAGCACTTATCCACATTTCTTGATCATTGATTGCATATTTTGGAAAATCTATAAGAGTTTTTTCATTTGATGGATTCATACTTCTTTCTTCGAACTCTGAAAATGCAAGTATTTTTATTTCAAATGTTGAAACATAGTTGAATTTAGATGAAATTAATTAAATGATATATTAAAATTTTTGTTAGTTTCGATAGTAGTAGGATATTGTTCAAAATAATTAAATTTATACAAAACCATTCCAGGTAGAATCAGTCCTCGGCGCAAAGTGGAATTTTGTGCTACTGTCTTTTTTCCAGACGTTGTCATTCAATTTGTATTCCCATAAAAGATTTCGTGAACGTTTCGGCAAATATTTTACTGATTTGGTATCTGCCCGATAAAAAAATAATCAAACACATAAAAAAATGCGTTATTTTCTTCACTGACATAATTCCTAATCCGTTAACAATTTAGAAAATCAATTTATAGTATTATCATAAATAAGTAATAACTATTAAAACTTTTGTTCAAACAGAGTTTAATTTGGAATCCTTAGAATCAGAACAACTAATTATGTCCTTAACAGAAAATTTAAAGAAGACTAAAATTTGAAAACAGATTAAATTAAATTATTTAGCAACAGTGAACAAACTATATAAATTCATAATAAATTTTATAACCTTCGTTGGGGTTGACGAATGTTGTCCAGGCAACTGCTGATGTTGTTGCTTCTCCAGTGGTCACACAAACATGTTGTCCATTTTTGGTGGCAACAAAGGCACCACTTTCGAAAGCATAGGAAGGACAAAACCAGAATTGTATGGCACTAAATCTATAGAAATAAATATTGGAAATACAATTTAGATCCATTCATACAAAGTTGTATAGTAACAAATATAATCATGAATAATTTCTTATCTAATTTTATTTCTTATTATTTCATCCAAATAAATTCACTTGGGTCTAATTGGGTGACGATCACTCACCCTCTTAGACCCAAAAGAACAAAATTTATAGAATATATTCTATAAATTTTGTTATATTGTTTTGTTATAATTTTGTCATATATTCTAAAAATTCTATAAATTTTAAACTCTATAGTTTTAAAACAGTTTACACTGTATTATTAACTGCCAGAAAAAGTTTATTTTCATCAGAAATCCGATTTGCCAATTTTATGTTTTCTCGACAATATGAATCGAATGAAACCAAACTTGGAAAAAGTATGTGTGTATATGTGTGAGCCGATTTTTTATCTTTGAAGTCGTTCAATTTAAAAAAAATTCAAAATTTGAAAAAAATTGTGTCAAAAGTCGCTTTTGAGATGTGATAAATCAAAATTTGATCATAATTATTTTTAAAATTAAATTTATAAAATAATTATTCAAAATACTTACATGAAAATAATTAAAAAATATCCTCCCATTTCAAAAGATTAATTGCATAATATTAATTATTATACTTATATAAATATATAAATTCAACTAATGCAATATATTTAATACTTTATCACTTTTATTTGTATCCGCGCCAACCAATTTGCACAAATGCTAATCGTTATTTGTAAAAAAAATACAAATGAAAATTATCTTGAGGCGGATCTGAACGGAGCTGATAAGATACAAAAAGTATGAGTTAAAATTGTCTATCTTATAACTTTTCTTGAAATTTAGATAGTGATTGTTACTAAATCTTTGTTTCCAGGAACCCATTTTCAAGTTCCAAAAATAAGAGTGTCCTAACAAACCAGATTCATAGTTTACAAAACAGTCCTAAGACAGTACAAAACAGTCCTACTTAATTGTAGAAAACTTACGCCAATTGTGGCATAATTTTTAACCGTGGGTCCTAGATATGTTATTTACGGTTACGGTTCCAAAGATTAAATTAAAAGAATTAATAAAAAAATAACCATAATAACCGAAAAATGATGGCTTGAGCGTTAAGTTACACTTGGAAGCTCATAATTTTTAATACATTTTTTTTTCATGATAGTTATGATCAATACTATCGCTCAGTTTCGACTTGACGTTGAGTTCTGGGATACTATATATATATATATATATATATATATATATATAAATATATATATTATAGTTTAGTGATAATTTATGGATATCATAAAGAAATACAGACTATTCATAAAATGGTAAATACAGACTTATTTTTCTGTGTGATATCTTTCAAGAGATATGAAATTATAAGACAGCATTTCGCTATTTTTATCGTTTATTTTCACAATGACAAACATTGCATTTTTTCTCTTATTTTATTTCTTTTTGCATCATTATCTTTTATATTATTTCTGATCTATATTATTCTTATTATCTATTTATATTATTTTATTTGTGACATCATTATATAATTATATAATAATATAATAATAAAAATAATATTATAAATTATAAATAATATTACAATAATAAAATAATTATATTACAAATTAAGAGCAGGGTCAAATATATATATTTGTTAAATATATTTCACTCTTTTCAAAAAGTCATGGACTATAGTCCATGGTTTTTCACTCAATTCAATCCTAATGTAAATGTCTAATGAAATCTAATCAAAATATCAACATTCATATAGTATTTTTCCAAATCTAATTCACTATCTAATCTAAATATCAGCTTTCATAATAGTCTTTTTTTTAAATCTAATTCACAATCTAATCTAAATGTCAACTATCATAATAGTATTTCTATTAAATCTAATTCACAATCTAATCTAAATATGAACTTTCATAATAGTATTTTTTTAAATCTAATTCACAATCTAATCTAAATATCAACTTTCATAATAGTATTTTTTTTAAATCTAATTCACAATCTAATCTAAATATCAACTTTCATAATAGTATTTCTTTTAAATCTAATCTAAATATCAACTTTCATATAGTATTTTTTAAAAATCTAATTCACAATATAATCTAAATATCAACTTTCATAATAGCATTTCTTTTAAATCTAATTTACAATCTAATCTAAATATCAACTTTCTTGATAGTATTTTTCTTAAATCTTATTCACAATCTAAACATCAACTTTCTAAATAGTATTTTTTTTTTAAATCTAATTCACAATCTAATCTAAATATCAACTTTCTTGATAGTATTCTTTTTAAATCTAATTCACAATGTAATGTAAATATCAACTTTCTTAATAGTTTTTTTTTAAACCTAATTCATTATCTACTTTCATTTCAACTTTCATAATAGTATTTTTTTTAAATCTAATTCACAATCTAATCTAAATATCAACTTTGTAAATAGTACTTTTTTTAAATCTAATTTACAATCTAATCTAAATATCAACTTTCATAATAGTATTTTTTTTTAAATCTAATTCACAATATAATCTAAATATCAACTTTCACAACATTATTTTTTTTAAATCTAATTCATTAATCATTAGCAATTGGAAATAGTGTGTTGAAAAGAATATTGATAAAAAATAAGATATTTTTTTGTTGCATGTCTGAATAATTTAATAAATTGTTTTTCTAACAAAAGGAAAAAGCAATTATTAATTTTAGTAAATTTTATCACTTTAATCATTTGAAATTTTAGAATCGGCTTGTCACTAATTCTATTTATTAATACTTAATTTATAAAAATCAAAATTTAAAAAAAAATATATAAAATAATTTTATATGTAACAATTGCCTTGATTATCAAAAAAATACATATTATGTAATGTTTACTCTATATTTCTATTCTATTCTATTTTTACATTTAAGAATAGAACATTTTAGATTTAAGAATATTTTATGTTTTTAAATATTTAAATTCGATATAACAAATATGTTAAGATTTCATGGATTTTCTTCACTCTTCCGATTATGAAGTGCCATGTGTTTCTTCAAAATACTCCTGCTCTCCATTATGAATCAGTTTGTGTTTTTTTCAAAATACTTAATCGTGTGAATGTCTTATTGCATATATCGCATTCATGGGGACTCACCCCGCTGTGAAGGTACATGTGACTTTTCAGACTACCTAATTCTGTGAATGTCTTATTACAAATATCGCATTTATGGGCACGTACTCCACTGTGAATGAAGAGCATGTGCCGTTTCAGACTACCTAATTCTGTGAATGTTTTACTGCATAATTTGCATTCATGGGGGCTCTCACCATTGTGAAGGAGCATGTGACTTTTCAGAGTTCCCAATCGTGTGAATGTCTTATTGCATATACTGCATTTATAAGGGTAAACTCCATTGTGAATAAGCATGTGACGTTTCAGAGCACCTGATTCAGTGAATGTTTTATTGCAAATGTTGCATTCATGGGGGCGCACACCACTGTGAATGAGCATATGACTGTTTAGACTACTCGTTTGTGTGAATGTCTTATTACAGATAGAGCATTTATGGGAGCGTACTCCTCTATGTATATCCATGTGGGTTTTTCAGATTACTTGATCGACGAAATGTCTTCTTGCATATAGTGCATTGAGGAGGGTATACCCTTTTGTGTATCAACATGTGATTTTTCAGATTACTTGAATATCTGAATGTCTTATCGCATTCATTGCATTCAAAGACACGTTCTTCAGAATGTATTTTTATGTGTCTTTTCAACCCTTTTGATTGTTTGAAAGTCTTTTCACACATTCCACATTTGTAATGACGTTCATCGCTATGAGTAAGCATGTGTTTTTTCAAAGCAGCTGATTTTTTGAAATCCTTTTGACAGATTTCACATTTGTAAGGGCGTTCTTCGCTATGGTTAGGCATGTGATCGACCATATGTTTTGTTAGATGATGTGATTCTGCGAATGATTGATTACAAATGTCACAGTCAAAAGACTCCTGTTTGACTTCATCTTCAATTGTCACCTCGGAGTTCATGAATCTTTCTAAACACGTATCATCGTCCTTAGAACACGATTCAGATTCAACAATGGCATCAGGAGCATCAAATTCATCCTCAATTTCATATTTAATGTCCTCTGCTGAATATTCTGGTGGTTCAATTTTAATTGCTTGATCATTCATAGACTTAAATGTTTCTTCTGACATTTTGAAATACTTTCATTACTTGTACTTACTAAATATCTAAAAAATATTCGTATTCTAAAGAATCTACTTTAATCAACAATCTTCTAAAATATACTAAATGATATCAACTTAAATTATGTATTGATTGTTTGACATTTCAAGCAGAGAGTTTGTTTTTAGCAGTAGAGACATAGTTAACCATAAAGAATTTGAAAAGACGCGCCACTTGCTTGATAACTGAACCAAACTGATTATATTGTCTAGGTAATAATCATTTTGGAATTAATAATAAAGACGTTTGTTGCCAGTTCAGACATAAAGAACGATAATGCCAATTTATATTTGTTTAACTATGGATAATGCATTTGAAAAGGGTGCCACTTACTAAATATCAACGCGCTTTGGTAAACGTCTCATCTTTCAAAAGCATTGCTCTATGCTTCACTTGTCAAATAATGAATTAATTTTAGTTGAAATGATATGTAATATTTAAAGCATTGTTGATTAAATTAGATTATTATTTCGTAAGAATTATTTCGTAAATATTTAGTGAGTATAAGCATTAAAAATGTCAGACGAAACAATTATGTATAACAATGATTTGGCAATTAAAATTGAACCACCAGAATATTCAGCTGAAAACATTAAAAGCGAAATGATGATGAATTTGATGTCCCTAATGCTATTGTTAAATCTGAATCGTGTTCTGAGGATAATGACACGTGTTTAGAAAGATTCATGAATTCCGAGGTGACAATTGAAGACGAAGTCAAACAGGAGTCTTATGATTGTGACATTTGTAATCAATCATTTGCAGAATCGCATCATCTAACAAAACATATGGTTGATCATATGCCTAACCCTAGTGAAGAACGTCCTTACAAATGTGAAATCTGTCCAAAGACTTTCAAAACAATCGCATTTTTGAAAACTCACATGCTTACTCATAATGATGAACGTCGTCATGAATGCAATGTATGCAAGAAAACATTCAAACGATTTTACCAACTGAAAACACACATGGTCATTCACAGTGGTGAGCGCCTCCATGAGTGCAGTATATGCAATAAGGCTTTCATAACTGTAACTCATCTGAAAAGACACATGCTCATTCACAGTGGTAAGCGCTCCCATGAGTGCAGTATATGCAATAAGACATTCATAACTATAAATAATCTAAAAGACACATGCTCATTCACAGTGGTAAGCGCTCCCATGAGTGCAGTATATGCAAGAACACATTCATACAATTAGGTAATCTGAAAAGACACATGCTCATTCACAGTGGTGAGCGTCCCTATGAATGCCATATATGCAAAAAGACATTCAGATTTTTAAGAAATCTGAACAGGCACATGGTCATTCACACTGGTGAGCGCCTTCATGAGTGCAATATTTGCAAAAAGACATTTACATATTCAGACAATCTGAAGAAACACATGCTCGTTCATAGTGGTGAGCGTCCCTATCAATGCAGTATATGCAAAAAGACATTCACAATTCAAGTACTCTGAAACCTCACATGCTCATTCACAGCGGTGAGCGTCCCCATGAGTGCAATATTTGCAAAAAGACATTTACATATTCAAGCCATCTGAACAGGCACATGCTCATTCACACTGGTGAGCGGCCTCATGAGTGCAATCAATGCAATAAGACATTCAAACAATTAAGAGATCTGAAATCTCACATGCTCATCCACAGTGGTGAGCGTCCCTATGAATGCAGTATATGCAAGAAGACATTCATACAATCAGGGGCTCTGAAATCTCACATACTCATTCACAGCGATAAGAACCCCCACGAGTGCAATATTTGCAAAAAGACATTTATATGTTCAAGCCATCTGAAAAGGCACATGCTCATTCACACTGGTGAGCGCCCCCATGAGTGCAATCAATGCAATAAGACATTTGCATATTTATATATCTGAAGAAGCACATGCTGATTCATAACAGAGAGTAACCTTATAAATGTTAAATATGCAGTGAGACATTCACACAATTATGAAGCTTGAAACGGCACATGCTTATTCGTAAAGGAGAGCGTTGCAAATGTGAAATATGCAATAAGGAATTTAATCAATCAGGCAATTTAAATGAGACGTAGTTGGGAGCGTGATGAAAATCAATGAATCTAAACTATCTGTTAAATTGAATTTAAATATTTGTCATAAAGTATTCTTGCATATAATGTACAATTTGTATGAAATATACAGTAAACATTTATTATATGCATTTATTGATAAACAAGGCAATTGTTACATAATATATTATTTTATAATTTTTTTTTCATATTTTGATTTTTTTATAAGTATTACAACGTAGATTAGCAACCACTGGTTCAGAATATAGCTGACATACATAGTTATATAACAATTTTTTTTTAAATTTGATATTAAAATAAAATAGATGAAAAGAATTATAAAGGTACTTTTCATTTATTTTATTTTGATATATAGCTATGTGTTATATTTAATTCTCGCATTTTGAGTTTTTGTTTTGATTATTTGTGTGCTCTGAATATAAGTTAAATCAAGAGTTGAAACGTTTATTACCACAATAAAGACATTTTTCTTCAATAAAATTGACGTGTTATCCTCATCATCATGATAAATTTCAATGATTTACCTCCTTTTCTTTTTTCAACCCATTGTTATAAATGTAAATAATAATAATAATAAATGTACAAAAGCAAAAACGCCACCTCAAAAAATACTTGCGTGGGTTTATCATTGCTACAAAATTAATATTATATATAATATATTTGTTTGATAACACAACATGCGAATCAATAAAATTTCTTATGGCCATGTCTCAAAATTGTATAGCGCTTTTAGGGGGTATTCTAGTGTAGAAATTCAAAAAATCGATTTTTTTTATTTCATATTTTCAAAGTTTAACTATCTAAGAATATGGGTACGAGAAGGTTTTTGAAAATTTGAATTATTTTCGGAGATATAGGCATTTTACTGACTTGGCCTTCCATACTGGTTTGGCTTCACGCAACACTTTTAATGCGTTTTTTCTCAGAACAGACTTTTTCAGTACTGTTGACACGATTTCTCGAGTTTTAATCGACCGATTCACTTGAAATGTTCAGAGAGTCTTGTTTATAGACCTATCTATAGCCCGAACTAGGATTATCCCTAAATTCCAATTTTTACTATTTTTAAAAAAATCGAGAAACTCAAAAAACATTTAAAAAACACTTTTTTTCAAACAGTCGCCAATTTGTAAAAAAAAAAATTTACTCATCGCTAGTTCGGGCGATTGCGACATCATTGTAGATTAATATTTTTATTTTTTGCCTTTCCGATGGCTAGGAGGGCTGAAATCATTAAAGACTGGGTGCCAATTTTTTGAGACCACCCACGTCATCAGCTGCCAGTTTTCACAATTTTCAACTTTTTTCTTTTTAATTTTTGTTTTGTATTTTAATATATTAATAAACAAGTGGTAAAAAATGGATAGTAAAAACATTCATTGCTTTCTTTTACGACACTTCAAAAAATACCTAAAATTAATCGCTCTACACTAGAATACCCCCTTGCCAACACATTTTTGTTCTAGTATTGTGGCCAATAACAAAACAATTTAAATTAGGCTTGAAACGAATAATATTCGACAAAATGCCGAATACCGAATATTCTGCATGCTCCGGAGACCGAATACCGAATATTCGGCAACTATTCGACAGGTTTTAGAGCATAAACTCGTTCGTATCGATGAAAATACTATTCGCAGTTGTTAAATTTTTTATTTTTTATGTCTAGGCTTGCTACGACCATTCGGTTACTCTTTATTATTTGAAGAATTTGGCACCATTTACACCTTTCCGGACGAATACCGAATGTGATACGGAAATAAATCAAAAAGCGATTCTTTACAGATATATAAATGTATTTCAAATTATTTCTTTCATAAACATTCAATATTCTATTTTATAAACACAATATTATCTACATATATAAAAATAAGTCGGGTTTTCCTTCCTGACGATTTAACTCCAGAACGCACCAACCGATTTCGACAATTTTGCATTCGCTGGAAAGTCTCCGCAAGATTTATAACTAAGAAAATTAGTGGTGCCTTAATGCAAATTTCTGGAACTACACGTACCGTAATTAAAAATTCGAGTAATGACATTAGTGAGAATTATCAGAATTATGCTTGGTTAAGTCAACGAGCAATTCTTGCCGCAAAGAATAATTATGAACACGCACTGAATTTCACCATTCAATCAAAAATTGCTGGCGATTTGGTGACATACCAATGTTTCCGATTGGTCTTCCCTTTGACTTCAAACGATTGCAATTTTCAGTTCGCCTTGCGTTTGCAATAACAATCGCAAGGCCAATCACTTAGTGTTTGCGGGATAAATTTAAAATAGATTATTTATAAAATCATTGTTTTTCACATGGGCAGTTATACGTTGCCTGTTCACGAGTTGGAAACCATCCGCTTTCTTTGTGTTAACGTCAGACCAGAAAACAAAAAATGTGGTTTACCAAAGAGCACTTCAAGAAAAGAAACGGATAATTTGCGGATTCACTTTCATTTACTTAGAGAAGTCAACTAAAAAACACTTCATTTTTGTAATCGAAATAAATTCATTACTGTTGTGTAATAAAATAAAATTTTTCTTTTAAATATAAAAGAAACAAAAAATTTCTTTCATCTTTCTCACGAAACATCTGGTGGCGAAACGGAGTTTGTCGGGTTTGCTAGTTTCTTATATATTAGGAAGGCTAATCATAATAGTATAAATAAAGACTGATCAAAAGTATTGTTTGTATTTACGATAAAGAGCCTATAATATCTCTTAATTTAGAAATGTTCAGATTAAATATATTGAATGACTTTATGTAACCGTTGAATGATTCTTAACATAAACATATAACAATAACGCGTACTTTGAATATTGAGAAAAGAGTTCTTTACTTGTTCGTGTATATATAACCATTTATACAATCGTTAATAGTAACCGAATGTTCGGTGCAAGCCTAATTTAAATTATGACTACGATTATTCATTGAATCTTTCAACAAAGCCACTTTTCAATTCGTGCATTTTATTTCGAAAATATAAAAAAAATCACTTTGTTATCCATATGATTTCTTCACTTATACTCGCATTATTTCGTACGGCGTAGATACGTCCCATTATTATTAGAAACTAGTGGTGTATGACATCGTGCCTTAAGGCAAATTGCTGAAACTTCCCGTACCGTAATGAAACGTTCGAGAATTTTCAACGTTTTATATTGATAATTATTAATATAATTTGTTAAATGTTTAAATAGATTATTATGAATACTGTAGTTATTATTCACATTTTATAACAAAATATAAGAGCTTATGAATTGGTGGACGACGTTTATATAAACATATAAAAAAGTAAATAAACAAAACTAAATCCAGCGGTGCTAGAATGAAGGAACTTATTTTACTTTTTATATACCGAATTTTTAAAATTCAAAATTAAAATCTGAATTATTTTCGATATTCGAAAAAAGTATTTTTTGAGAAATTAATATTAATGTTAATATTGTTAATAATAAAACCGTTTGCAGACTGCTGAGATATAGAGAATTATTATTTATTTGAAAAAAAACGCGCCACTTGTTAATTATCAACGCGATTTGATTATTGTCTCATCTTCTATAAACATACTCTATGCTTCAAATGTCTGATCAAAGCGTTACTCCCTAGACAATATAATATATAAACTCTATGCTTGAAATAATGAATGTATTTTTTGGTGAAATTATTTATCATATTGAAAAAGATTGTTGATTAAAGTAGATTATTATTTAGAATACCAAAAGTTTTTAGATATTTAGCAGTGAAAAATATTTAAGAATGTCAGAAGAAACATTTATGTCAATGAATGATCAGGTAATTAAAATTGAACCACCAGAGTATTCTCCGGAAGACATTAAACGCGAAAATGAGTATGAATTTGATGATTTTGATGCTATCGTTAAATCTGAATCGTGTTTTGAGGATGATGATACGTGTTTAGATAGATTCATGAATTCCGAGGTGACAATTGAAGATGAAGTCAAGCAGGAGTCTTATGATTGTGACATTTGTAATCAATCATTTGCAGAATCGCATCATCTAACAAAACATATGGTCGATCATATGCCTAACCATAGCGAAGAACGTCCTTACAAATGTGGTATCTGCCCAAAGACTTTCAGTCAATCAAGAGGGTTGAACACACACATGGTCATTCACAGTGGTGAGCGTCCACATAAATGCAATGAATGCAATAAGGCTTTCATAACTGTAACTCATCTGAAAAGACACATGCTCATTCACAGTGGTAAGCGCTCTCATGAGTGCAATATATGCAAGAAGAGATTCACACAATTAAGGTATCTGAATAATCACATGCTCATTCACAGTGGTGAGCGTCCACATAAATGCAATGAATGCAATAAGACATTCACACTATCAAGGCATCTGAAATATCACATGGTCATTCACAGTGGTAAGCGCCCCCATGAATGCAGTATATGCAAGAAGACATTCATATATTTGTGGACTCTGAAAAAACACATGCGCATTCACAGTGATGAGCGCTCTCATGAGTGCAATATATGCAAGAAGGCATTCTTGCAATTAAGTAATCTAAAAAGACACATGCTCATTCACAGTGGTGAGCGCTCACATGAGTGCAGTATATGCAAGAAGACATTCATAGAATTGTGGACTCTGAAAGCACACATGGTCATTCACAGTGATGAGCGTCCACATAAATGCAATGAATGTAATAAGGCATTCAAAACTAAAACTCATTTGAATGATCACATGCTCATTCACAGTGGTAAGCGTCCCCATGAGTGCAATATATGCAAGAAGACATTTATACAATTAAGTAATTTGAAAAGACACATGCTCATTCACAGTGGTGAGCGCTCCCATGAATGCATCATATGTAATAAAGCATTCAAAGATATACACGGTTTGAAGGTTCACATGCTCATTCACATTGGTGAGCGTTCCCATGAGTGTAAGGAATGCAATAAGACATTTATACGATTAAGCCATCTGAAAAATCACATGTTCACTCATACTGGTAAGCGCCCCCATGAGTGCAGTATATGCAAGAAGTCGTTTACACAACCATCTCATCTGAAAAGTCACATGCTCGTTCACAGTGGTGAGCGTCCCTATAAATGCAGTATATGCAATAAGGAATTTACTGTATCAAGAGTTTTGAACAAACACATGGCCATTCATAGTAGGAAGCATGATGAAAATCAGTAAAATATCTGTTAAATTGTATTTAAATATTTGGAAACATGTTATAAAATATTCTTACATATAATAGAATGTATAATTAGATAAAATATATTTTATAAATATATAATAATAAACATTAAACATGCATTTATTGATAAACAAGGCAAATTTTCATATTATATTATTAACTTCCCGTAGGGTAAGTTATTGTAATCGTCCAAAAATCGAAATTGAAAATTTTTACTTTTCTCGACGTTT